ATTATCCTAGACCTGTTGGTTGTGTTGTCCAGCGTCCCTCTTAAGAAAAACATGAGATGAGTTGCGGAAGAACACAGGTGCTGGAAACCGGGTCCAGCGTCCCATCACTTTCTATTATCCTAGACCTGTTAGCTGCATTGGACATGCCTCATGCTCAACACTATCCTGATTTTTGTGTCACGCTGTGTGTGCTGAACCCTGTGCACAACTGTTTACCGAAGTGGTTGGCCAACTGGTCAGTGCCCAACTGTGCGCTGCAGTATGCACTGAACTCTCTGTCCAACTGTTTGCAAAACGGCGTGCTGAACTGTGTGCCGAACTGTGTTCAACATGTGAGCCGAGCTGTGTGCCGAACTGTGCGTAAATGCGCACTGGATTTCAAACTTGGGCACTGAATCCGGAAGCTCCTAGTGCAAACAGTTAGGGATGTGGGCAGCTCCAGTAAGGCATGTCCAGTATTGGCAGGGCAGCGTGTTGGATGAGACAACTAGAAAGGCACATGTTCACACCATCGTCAGTCTGTCGAGGGGCGCAGGGTTTGCTCGAAACATGTTCCCAGGGTCTCTCTCTCTCTCTCACACACACACACACACACACACACACACACACACACACACACACACACACACACACATTATTTCTACTGAAAGTCTGAAACAGCATTTCTTGCTTGTTTTTGCAGGTATGTTAACAGATTTGGGCCTGGAATGGTTATCTACTGGTTTGGCTTTATTGATGAACTTGACGATCACTCCGAGGTTTTACTGATCGATAGATTCCCAATTGAGGAGGAGGTCACCCTTCTGCCCTCGCTTCCTGTCAAAGCGAGGCCATAACATCTGCGGCGTGTTACAGGCAAGCTTGCAAACTCTGGCAACTATCAACAATCAAGCCCTAACACTGGTCTACTGAGTGCATCCCTTCCTGTGATTGTGGATCTTTATTGGATGGAGATATTTGTGGACTGATCAGGGCCTGAGAACAGCACTGTGGCAAATAAGGTCTGAGCATGGACCGCAGATGGACCAGATGGACGCTGCTACAGGTATCGACCGAGCTGACTTCCGCAAAGTTGGTCTCAAGCTGGACCCATGGGGCTCAGCTGCATCTGGGCATATCAAGCCTTTTGCAAAACTTGATCCCAAGGTGCTGGTCCAAAACTGACTGGTCCAAATGTGAGCCAGTTGGACCCTACAGTAGCACCCCTGAAAAAGGGTCTTCGACAATTGGGGGCCCAGGTCGGTAAAAGGGGTGACCGTCTTTGATGCTTGCGGCCCTACACTGGTAAAAGGGGTCTTTGACGATTGTTGTCCTTGGTATGTAAGATCTGTGTTCTCTCAAACCGATGCTTGGTGTGGGACAATTGTGTTCCAACACTGGTCCTTACCTGTGGGCCTCTGTGGGTCGGGCCAACATGGTCCCGAGGAGGTGCAGATGCGACCTGGCTAGACCCTGGCACCTTGGGGTCAGTGGATTAAGCCCCCTGTGGTCACAATTGGTAGCAATTTGGCAGTGACTGCTGAGGACACGCCGAGCTTTGGCAGTTCGCAGATGTGGTCCCTTGTTCATCCAAATGAGGATGCAGTTGACCTGCTGGACCCTAAGGGCATCTTCACACTAGGACTTTTTTTACGTTTGGACGTAATTGCGGTCATATACGTCCGGCGATGAATGCCGTAAGACACATTTATGATAGTGCTAGTGTGAGTGCAGCACCCTAAGAGTAAGGGACCATTGGCGCTGCGGGATATCTGCCCGTCAATGTCAACTCTTGTTCGGCACTCTGTGAACTGCAAGGCAATCTAGCTCCTGGGCACCTGTGGATCGGTCCAGAGTCCAGACGAAGACTACTTTTTTTTGACGACTCGGGCTTGGGAAGGTGCGCATGGAAGAACCATGTTTGTTGCATGGCACATGTTGCGCTGCTTTTTGTTTTGTTTTTCCGTCCAGCTGTTGCCTGACAAATGTGAATCCCTTCGCGCAAGCAGCAGTAAGCCCCAGGGTTGATCAGATGGCTTTTGCATTGACGAATGTGAATTTTGTGAAATGATGAATTGGGTGGGCTTCCAGCAAAGCTTGGCAAGATTTGTGACGGTTGGCGCTTGACCATGGGGTTATGTGGACAAATTGGCGCCACAAGGCAAATTTAATTGGGTGTCCAGCAGAGCTTTGTTTCGGCTTTCGCTTGGCGAAGTTATGTGGAGAAATCGGGCGGGGTCATAAAGCCATGGCAGCGCTGCGACAGGAGCGGCACGTGGTATTGTGCATGCATCCACCATTGTGTCTTCTATGCCGTGTACAGGTGTGGAGCCGCCGTGCTTTGCTGGAGGATTCGCTGTCTCTCCTTGGGTACCGTACCGCTCTTTATCAGTCTGCAGGCGGATGAATGTTCTCTGCCTCGTGCATCACGTCTGGCAGCCAGCTTAGAGGGTAATGGGCATGCTGTCTTGTGTGCTTGCTTATCACTCACTGTACCGCTTGTACGTGTTTGACGTTGCAAGCTTGGAAGCATCATTCAAGAGCTGGCCTGTTTGAAGATACTACATGTGGGATTTTACTACAACGTTGCGAGGGAGCTTGGAAGGCATTCGAGAGCGCCGGACTGTTTTAAGATATTACCTGGGGCATTCTACTCAGAGGAAAGTCTATGGCAGTAGTCATCTTTGGTCCAGCAAATAACTGAAGAATGGGGGCTGTTGTTTAGGCATATGGATGTCTAGTGTGCACAGTCCGGAACTTATCCCACTTGATGTTCAACAGTGCAACTAACTACTGCAGCTGGCAGTGGGTCTCAAGCATAGTGGCAAGGAAGGTCCAGTTTAATGGGTGCCTGTGGAGTTGTTCGTGGTTTCAAAAGGGGCATCTGATTGTTCATGTGGTTGGCAACTTGGCATGCCGGATTGAAGTGCAAATGCATGGAAGGTCAGGAAGGCCATGGCTTTGGAGGTGTTAAGGGTGGTTTCAAAGGCATCCGTAGTGTTGTGTACGTCTGTTTGAAACACGCTGTCAGCGCAACTCAGCTCCATTGGAGTTGAGAGTCCCGCAATGGTTCTGCAGCACCTTTCCTTGCAGATGGACCGCAGCGTTACCTTTCTGATCATTCCGATCCGAATCACGTTTTCTCTGTCTTGTGGAATTGAGCTGGGATGTTAGTCCATAGGAGGAGGAGTTGGATGGGGTGTTGGGGTTGGCTATCGTCATCGACATGCCAACGTTTCTGCATAAGAAGATTGAGCAACATGAGGAAACTGAACTACTCCTATCTCCTATGGAGGTAAGAAGTCTTATCATCTTTACACCTTTCTAACTCTACCTACTGGATGAGACGCCATTTCAGTTGGCCCCACAGGCCACGAGCAGGTCCGCCGGCGGTGAAAGTTGAAACCAGTCGGGGTCCCACGAGTAGTTGGTTGGTTGGGTGGGTGTTGAAACCAGTCCATTTGCCAAATGAGAGTAACAGCCGCCTGGCAACCCTTCGGCGTGTTATAATAATGTGGATGCGATTCTCTCGGCGCCGGTTGATCTACCTCTGTGGCGTGTGGTCGAAATGGTTGAACTAGCAGTACGTTTGCTAATGTGCCTAGTCACAGGCTTAGTGAGTGAATCTTCACCTTTTGTTCAATTGAGCCCATCAAAATGTGTGTGTGTGTGTGTGTGTGTGTGTGTGTGTGTGTGTGTGTGTGTGTGTGTGTGTAGAGTTGTGTGAAACGTACAAAAATCGCCAGTGTAGCCTAACGAGCAAACAGGAAGCTACCTGCACTGCAGGCTTTGGACAGAAGAGAGACGCATTATTTATATCTTCCAGTTGGAAGGACCACATGAAGGCAGGTTGAGTGCTGCATCTCTCTGCGCGAGGCACAGGTGAAATACGTTATCGTCAACTGGGAGACAATATGACTGGTTAGTGGCTCAATTGTGCACACCTATGTTACATGCCCAGTTGGGCGATGTACATAATAACCGAGGATCCACAATGTGATGAAAAGTACTGAATGGACAATGCAGTGCAAGTAGAATCTCAACAAGCAATGTGCATTCCGACACATACAAAATGGTGCTAAATAGCGCAAGGAAGACTTAGATCCAAATCCTGACCTGACCGGGACTGACCTCATTCACGTAGCACAAGATAGGGAAGCAGAATGCTAGAATGCAAATGACTAGCCCAAAAAATGCTTAAACGCAGACCAAACATGCATCATGTCCATCCCAAGGTGTGAAGGAGCCTGGCGCTATACACAGGAAAGAGGCGCCAGGTCCAGACATACACAGACGAAGAGGAGGGGATCAGACGAAGAAGAGGAAGGGGGAGATGGGAAAGTTGTCAACCTCAAGTTTCGTTTCAAATCCCAAATAATCCCTCTTCGATATGTCTAAGTCCAATGTCGAGTCTGGATCCAAATGTCACCAAGCTCTCTCTCTCTCTCTCTCTCTCTCTCTCTCTCTCTCTCTCTCTCTCTCTCTCTCT